TGTATCCTATTGCAATGAAGGAGGGACAGGTGACACATTATTTCTGAATTCTACCCTAAGTAGACAACTGTAAATTCTGATTCAGAAAAATACAGTATCATAGAGGGTCACAGATGCCTGGGTGCAGAATTTTCTTGGTGCCCTAGTTGGACGTGGTCATCTTACTAACCGCTCCCCTTTACAAATATTCTGTCCAGACATGCATTTTTCTATAGTAACGACTCCACCTCTCCATCTATAAGTCTCACCCTTTTTGTAATCAGAATGTTTTGATAGGGTGTGTGTGTGTGTGTGTGGGGGGGGAGTTGACAGTTTGTGTGGGTGGGTGACAGTGTGTCGGGTGTGACAGTGTGTGGGGTGAGTGACAGTGTGCTGAGAGGCTGCATTTTAGTGACCAGCCTCCTCACACAAAAAATACCTATTTTTATCTTGTTATCAATTCCCTGGTAGTCCAGTGGTCTCCCTCGCTGGTGGTTGGTGAGATAACTATCCGGTCTGCAGTTTTTGCCAGGTGCCATGTGGTAGAGATCTCATGGGCTCTGGCGTTTGAAGTGTCAGAGTGTTAGTTAGTGTTAGTAACCCACGGAAACACTCTAATTGGCTGAACTAGTGAGACCTCTACCACATGGTCTGCAGCTCTGTAACCAGCGGAGCTGCAGACTGGAGGTGCTGGGCTCTCTCTCCCCTGGGCAGACTGAATGGAGGTATAAAATGTAATCCACCGGTGTCACCCCTCCCGGTGTCGGATCATTGGTCACAGGCCAAGGACCCGATGGATTAGTCTGCCCTAAGACCAATTAGGTGGCCGCAAGGTTCCAGTCAGTGCAAGGCCTTAGATGGCCACCTAAGTCGTCTCTGTTTGCGCCCCCTTCTGCTTCAGCTCACTGATACCTTGGCACAGTACACCCTATGCACCCACTCTCAACTCACCCTGGCATCATATTTGGCCAGTGAAACTTTTGACATGTAGTATTACACACTACTAATATGTAGATATTAGCTGTAATCTCATGATTTCCTTTCTATCCAGCACCTATTAACAAATGTTGTAGAGGCCTATGTATATTGACTGCGATTACACTACGCTGGACTCTGCATTTTTGAAGTTCTGTTCTTTTTGACTTTTTCAAAACTTTTCACACCTATCTTAAATCATCCCAACAACCCATTTTCCTTTCCACTATCATTTCATCCTTTCCGTTTCTCATTCATTCTTTTCATTAGGTCAGCAACTATTTATTTGTCATTACAACCTTCATCTTCCCCTTTTACTGCACCCCCCCACCTCATGTCCTATTAACAATGGGACAATTTTGTTGGTGAATAAAAAAAGCACATTAGGTAAATCCATTGAAAGCTGCTTGTTGGAGTTTCCACTACATTGCTTGTCCTCAGACTTCCTTTTCATAAATTAATTAAAGAGACTAAAATAGGATGCTTTGAAGTAACCACTCTCCCTTTGATAATGGGCCAGTGGCATGGAAAGAATTAATACAGAAAAGAGTCATTTGTGCTTCTTCTCTTGGAGTGACTAATAGGTTAATACATTCACTTCCAGTTGTTCATACTTCAATACAGGAGGACAAACTCACACATGTTTATGCTTACTCCGCATTACTGGAGAGCAATGTGCTGTGTTTCTGCAAAATAAAATGTGCTTCTTAGAATTTTATAACTATTTCCTGAACATGGAATGATTGGTATAGTCAGTGTACTAAAATCTAAAAAAAAAAAAAAAAATCTCTATTTAATTTAAATCTCTAGTTGGAAATAAATTAAGGATGGTTTGTTTTAACAATATTTATAGTCAATACAATGTTAAACAAAAATCTGCACACCAGTCAAGCCATAAAACTTGCTTTTCCCACAGAAACCACAAATTTGCAGTGATGTTACCACCGCAAAGGATTCTGGGTGGGCATATGCAAATAAGTCCATTGTATTGACTATCCACAGACTTCAGGTGAAAGAGATTTTCAATCACAAGTTTTCCCCATCATAACTTTTTTGGTTTTTGCTTCGTATATATATATATATAGAAAATGTGAAAAAGTATAGCTGCACTCACGGTTGAAAAATAAAATCTTCAATGCTTTATTTGGTCATTTAAAAAAAGGATCGACGTTTCAGTCCAACTTGTGGACTTTCCTCAGGATCAAGAGGAAAGTCCACAAGTTGAACTGAAACGTCGATCCTTATTTTAAATGACCAAATAAAGCATTGAAGATTTTATTTTTCAACCATGAGTGCAGCTATACTTTTTGACATTTTCTGGATACCCTTGAGCCCAGGCTGGCACCCGGCAACTTTTTTGTAATATTACAGCTTGAGTGCAGGGACGTTTTCTATATATTATATATATATGTTTGATCCTGAGGAAAGTCCGCAAGGAGGACTGAAACGTCGATCTAATTTTAAAAGAATCCAATAAAGAATTGAAGTTTTATCACAGACCGTGAGTGCTGCTAATATCTTTTGCTACTTGAATACTCTTGAGCCCTGGCTGGCAACCGCTAATTATAATATTTCCAGCTTGTTCGCAGGGATAAAAATTTGTTTATATATATTTATATATATTTAATTCTGATAGAATTTCCAGATCTGGATTATTAACCCCTTAAGGATGGAGGGAATTGTCCAAGTTATGAACCAATACAAAACATAGAATTTGTGCTTGTTCTGCCGTAATTTAAGGGTTTCTTTCTAAGTGCCTCCATCTTATATACTGTTTTTTAAAGAAAGAAAAGGCTTTCATTTAATTTATTATATGTATACCCAGCACACATTACTTGTAAATAAAATGTTAAAAATCAGAAGAAAATTAGAAAAATAACACAATTTTTCACATTTTTACTTATAATAATTTTTACACATCCAGTGCAACTAAATAAAAAGATTTTGAAATACCGGTAGATTCATATATCAGTCCTGATTGTTAAATGCCTAATATTTGTAGGATCTAAAGTAATCTTTGGTAGTTAACGCTAACCTTATACCAACCCCCACTCCAAAACTATACCAATCATACCCCTTACCCTTTGCTTGGGCCACGGCCCACACACATACATGGTCTCCTTCCCTCCAATCCACTTTTGAATCCTGTGGCAAGGAGGAAGAGGTCCCTATAGGCGTGGGAGCTGCTGCAAACATCAGCACTTACCACCAACTTACCACAAGCAGAGACATGCCACATTATAAAAGGAGCAGCCATATTAAGTTATGTCAGGTAGGTCTTGCTTTCTGATTTACATTTATGGGGGGATGGGGATCAGCGAGCAGAGGCGAATACTACTGATTAAATATTGATTTCTTAATTTTGGGCTTAAAAAATAGGGGTCGCAATATACATGGGTGCGTCTTATACAGATAAATACGGTACATTCTTTCTAATTATTATGAGAGCCTGCCTCCCAGCCGATTACATTGTGATCAATGCTGGGCAGATGGCAAATGGAGTTAAAGGGCTATATACAGCACTGACTTCAAGCGCGGCATAGAGCTCATCGTTTAATGTGGGACCACTAAACATGGCCACAACTGACCTAGGGGAGCCCCAAGTATCAAATGATACATGGAGCTCACTGGTAAGCAGCAATTTAACCCTGCTCACACCAAAACTGCAGGCTGTTCCATTGGGCAAATTGGCTATTATAGCTGAATTTGTGTAGAATGTGTAGAATGGAATGTCCTAACATTGCAAAGGGGTTATACAAATACTTTGCAATAGGTGCCTGAAAACATACAAGTTATAAATTATAGTCTTTGTCAGTGAATCATGAACATTTTGCATGGCAATGGCAAAATGTGATGACAAGTGCTGAGATGGGCTCATGTCTATCATGATTGCAGCCACCCAAGAGCACTGGAAATCTGAGGGCAGTGCTTATTTCTGTGTGTTTGTATTTGGCAACGTATGTAAGTAAAATGATAAACATAGAAATACAATAAAAAAAATAAAATAGCAGCATCAATTGGTATCTTTTAGAAAATTAACTAAGTGACAGTGCATCTGTAATAGTCATGCAGTAGTCATATATATTGCTCCCATCCCATGGATTGTGATGTCTGTTTCATTTTAATATAAAGTTAAAATAAAACAGAGAGTACACTAGCAAAAGGTTAACACAACTTTTTTTGTTCAATGCTTTGGTGGAATTTCTAGTGTAGTTGCAATTCCCCTTTAACAAGGTTTCAGGCGGTAATTTGTATTTGGCAATTTGTATCTATGTGGTGCACTTGTAACTTTTTTTCCCTTTCCTATGGAGTATATGGATGACATATTTAATGGCTGATGGATGTTTATAATTAATGGTTGTAAGGTGGAACATTGAATTACAAAATGCTCCACTAAATTCCCCCAGGGTGAAACCCACCAGAGATAAGTCAGAATGGGTAATTCCTTGGTGGTTGTGTAGAGCTGTCTGGTATATAATACCCATGTCACATTACAAAATTTGCAGTGAATACAAAAGTATAATATCCCTTTATTATATAAAAAAAAATATTTACTGGAAAATAAGTAACAACATTGTAAAGTCTAATTAGCATTATAAATTTGAGAAGGCAAAGAACATTCCTTCAAAGTGTGACTAAAAATAGTTTGCAAACCATCCGTAAAGACGTGCGGTTAAAGAAAAAAAAAGGTGTAGTATATGCGTGGTGAAAATATAACAAGGACATCCATTGATTTAAGAGTTGCTGGCTCTGAAAATCCAATGCAAATGCAGAAGGACAGGTTTGGAGCAAAGCAAACAACTGTGGCCATGATTAAATAGAGGGAAATTATATAACTATGCTTTTACAAAGACCTTCATTGTAACTGGCAGGTGTCTGCATGTTGATATTTGGAAGATGTAAACAGAATGCAGAACATTCTTCTTTCAGATTCATATGAATTAGAAAGGAAATATAAGAAAGTGGTAATACTATGAAAACTGCAGATAAATAAAAGGCTTTATTTCAGATCCATTACAGCTGAATTCATTGATGTGTGTGTGTGTTTAGTCGTTCAGTCGTGTCCGACTCTCCGTGACCATATGGACCATAGCACGCCAGGTACATCGGTCAGTCACTGCCCCTCTGAGTTCTAACAACTTCATGTTCGTGGCTTCAGTGACCTCATCTATCAATCTCTGTCTCTGTTGTCGCCTTCTTCGTGTGCCTTCAATCTTTTCCAGCATCAGAGTCTTTTCTAGAGAATCATGTCTTCTCATTATATGGCCAAAATATTTGAGCTTCAACCTCATGATCATAGCTTCCAGTGAGCAGTATTTCTTGATTTCTTGTAGTACGGATTTATTGGATCTTCTTGCAATCCAAGGGATTCTAAGCAGTTTTCGCCAACACCACAGTTCAATGGCATTAATTCTATGACGTTCAGCCTTCTTTATAGTCCAGCTCTCACCTCCGTATGTTACTACTGGGCATGGCATAGTTCCGACTATGCGGACCTTTGTTGATAGTGTAAAATCTTTAGTTTTTACCAGCTTGTCCAAGCTTGACATAGCTTTCCTCCCCAGAAGTAAAAGTCTTTTAATTTCATGACTGCAGTCACCATCTAAAGAGATCTTGGATAAAATCTGTCACTGCCTCCACTTCTTCCCCATCTATTTGCCAGGAACTCGGGAATTCATTGATAAGAAATGCTAAAAAACTTTTTGTATGTTTTTGTACACTTAAAAGGCTATGCTTTTTTTTTTTTATCTATGCTTTGATTCTAGACATTTTTACAAATTTTCTCCCTACTTCTCTTTGTTAATTTGACCATAAATTGTAGAGGAAAGTTATCAAAATTAATGACTTATTTAACAGAAACATTCCTCCATTATACCCAGAGGAGATCTTTGACCCTGGATTACCAAGGTTTTGACCAGGAGAATTGGTAAACCTGGATTGATTTGTACTGCATCTGTTTGAATGATTTGTAGGACAATTCTGAATAAGTAGAATGGCAAAGTGAAAGTCCTCTCCAGGGAAATAAAAGTGTCCCTTTGTCCCAGCATAATAGGACACACAGTGCAATATATAATAATCAGACCCTAATTGTGAAATAAAATAAAAATGTTCCTTTATGTCTTCATCTCATTACCTAGGGGAGATAGTAAAAGAAGGAACTGGGACCACCATCTACTACTTTTCATGCTATAAACACTTATCTGAAACTCAGTAGGACAGCACTTTTTTTCTTCCTTTAAGCCACTATCAGTGGTGCAAATAGCCCTATCTGCTATTCCAAATGATAAGGGTGTTTTCATTCATGAAAGAGAAACCTGAACTGAAGACTGTGTCAGATCTACCAGCAACCCTTATAAGCAATCTCACAGAGTATGTGGTCTGGCCTAGTACTCTTTATGCATAAAGTAAAGTGTCTCTCGCTAAATAATTTTCATGCGCGGTGCCTTGAGACAAGGGTGGACCATTCCTAAGGTATCAATAATCATGGAGAAAATTAAGCACATACAGGTGCAGATTTATTGGAAAATCATACAACATTTCGGTTCCCACAGGGAGTTCATTTAAATAGTCAATCAATTAAGGTTCTGTTTGAAAAAAAAAAAAAGAGGACCGTATGCAAAACGATAGTGGCATTATTATTACATCACACAAAGTGAATTACATGAATTCCATACAACACTATCATATCAAACGTGCATATAATAGACCATCTAACTCAAATTGATGCTCCTTTGTTTACTCAAAAATAAATAAATTTATAAATACCCGATACGTCGGTTTCGGCACACCACAACCGACTTGCTCATATATCTAACTTATCATGTATACGGCTTTTGTCCCTGACTACAAATTGGAAGGCGTAGCCTGAAGTTGTGGGAGGGGTTACCCGGCTATTTAAACTCAGGCCCCCTACACCACAGGGCTGATGCTGCCTGGTTCATCCCTCCCACCTCTCCCATTATACATATTACTATTACAGGTGGGCCCTCTTTTATTACAGGCCTACCTGATACGTCGGTTTCGGCACACCACAACCGACTTGCTCATATATCTAACTTATTATGTATACGGCTTTTGTCCCCGACTACAAATATATATTATTGGCAGTACTTTTATTATTAGCCAATACAGAGAAAAAGGTTCATCAAAACAAACCTAAGTCTCCTCCTAAGGTAAAAAAAAAGAAAAGAAAATAATGTACAAGGGAAACCACAAAAGCAAAAAAGCAATTAAAAAGATATAGCCTGGGTCATGGTCTCAAGACAGTGATCTCACGTGAGCACCCATCAGTCAAATGACCAAATTCAGAAAACTACTTTCCATAAAGTAGTATATTAGGTCCCTTAAAGGTAAATTGCTACACTTATAGGTGAAACAATAAAGCTGCGTTGTGTGGTTGTGGTCACATCACCATAAAACGGGCCTTCTTGTCAAAATTAAAAAGTGGAATAAAACATCACTACTATTATATATTATAGGCTGCCTTTCCAAAAATAAATCCTAATTAAAAAAAAAAAAACCTTATCTTTTGTTTTAGTTTAGGAATTTACCTTGAAGGGACCTAATGTACTGCTTTATAGATAGAATTGACACATTGGGAGAACTATTTCTTTATATAATTTTTGTTTTCAAGTTTTGGTAATTTGGTCATGTGACTGGTGGGTGGTCATGTGACCAGAGACAATTAGAAACTTTTTTTTTTGTGTGTGATAAATTCACAGCACTTCCAACAATTGAAGGAGAGCTGATAACATCTATGCTGCTGCAGCAAAGCCACAAAGGGCAACATGTAGAGAGCTGACTTAGCTGCTGTCCAGTCTATCTGCCCTCCCATGGGGTTAGGGCGTGCTATGCCGTCCTACAAAATGAGGCTCTAACATTGTTAGGGCAGCACAGCATGCCCTAAAAATCTAGACCCCCCTCTTTCCTCTGGCTGGATACTTACCTTTCACTCAAATCGCAATTAGGGAACCTGCCTGACAACTCAGGTAGCCCCCCTGCCTCCAATCCAGCCGATCTGAGTCATGTGATCGCTGTGACACGTACATCGACTCAATGCTTTCCTTTGGGGTTCTGCTTGATATACAATATATAGAAATAAGAGAACGCAATCAATAAGTAAAAAACAATATAGTAAATAATAAACAGTATCAAATTAATAAAAACAGCTAAAAACACACTAGAAACTTCCTAACAATTTCAACACATAGAATATACTAATAATCATGTTAGCGCTCTATAGGAGAAGCCCACAATTTTATACTGGGCGCTCCACAAGTGATCTTAAAGAAGAAAAAATAACCACTTCTTGCATTAACATATCTGTTGGTTATAAAAAAACCTTACTAGTGTCCACAATTGATTTTGGTTAAAGGACCACTATAGTGCCAGGAAAACGTACTAATTTTCCTGGCACTATAGTGCCCTGAGGGAGCTCTCCTCCTCCTATCCGCCTCCTTTCCTCCTCTTCGGCTGAATGCGCATGCGCAGCAGGAGCTGCGCGCGCATTCAGCCAGTCTCATAGGAAAGCATTCATAATGCTTTCCTATGGACGCTTGCGTCTTCTCACTGTGATTTTCACAGTGAGAAGCAAGCAAGCGCCTCTGGCGGCTGTCAAGAGACAGCCACTACAGGCTGGATTAACCTATTTATAAACATAGCAGTTTCTCTATAATGCAGCGTGTGTGTATGTAATGCAGAGTGTGTGTTTGTATGAGTGTATGTGTATATAATGCAGTGTGTGTGTATATAATGCTGAGTGTGTGCATCATATACACACACTCATACATACACACACTCTGCATTATATACACACACACTCATACAAACACTCTGTTTCATTTTATTTTTGAGCCCCCCTTCCCTGCTTGCTACCTGGCCAGGGATGGGGGCTATATTATTCCCTGGTGGTCCAGTGGCATGGGCTGTGCAGGGGGGCCAGGAGCAAGCTGTTACTTACCTTTGAAGCAGCTCCGGTCAGCTCTGTTCAGCTCACAGTGTAAGTCTTGCGGTCTGCGTGCCGCACGGAGTGTTGCCACGGTAACCCGTGACAACGCTCTGACGGCCGCGGGTCTCGCGAGACTTACACTGTGAGCTGAACGTGGGAGCTGAACGGAGCTGATGGAGCTTATAATGAGCCTGGCAGTCCTGGTCTGTATTATGGCAATGTAAGTTGCCATAATATAGACACTGACTCGAGTAAAAGCGAGGGGGGCTTTTTCAGCACAAAAAAATTGTCGAAAAACTCGGCTTATACTCGAGTATATACGGTACCTCCATTTGTTTAAATATGCATAGGGATTTTGAGCGCAGGTAACGTTTTTCTTTGGTTTTTACTGTATTGGGGCTGATATGTACTATGGTCGTTGCTACCTCCCAGGATTGATGGGGGTTTGTTTTTTTGTATATGTATCAATGTTTGTGTGTCAGGATGCATGTATATATGTCTGTGTGTATCTATGTGTGTGTATGTGTCAGTGTGTATCTACAGGGAGTGCAGAATTATTAGGCAAGTTGTATTTTTGAGGATTAATTTTATTATTGAACAACAACCATGTTCTCAATGAACGCAAAAAACTCATTAATATCAAAGCTGAATATTTTTGGAAGTAGTTTTTAGTTTGTTTTTAGTTATAGCTATGTTAGGGGGATATCTGTGTGTGCAGGTGACAATTACTGTGCATAATTATTAGGCAACTTAACAAAAAACAAATATATACCCATTTCAATTATTTATTATTACCAGTGAAACCAATATAACATCTCAACATTCACAAATATACATTTCTGACATTCAAAAACAAAACAAAAACAAATCAGTGACCAATATAGCCACCTTTCTTTGCAAGGACACTCAAAAGCCTGCCATCCATGGATTCTGTCAGTGTTTTGATCTGTTCACCATCAACATTGCGTGCAGCAGCAACCACAGCCTCCCAGACACTGTTCAGAGAGGTGTACTGTTTTCCCTTCTTGTAAATCTCACATTTGATGATGGACCACAGGTTCTCAATGGGGTTCAGATCAGGTGAACAAGGAGGCCATGTCATTAGATTTTCTTCTTTTATACCCTTTCTTGCCAGCCACGCTGTGGAGTACTTGGACGCGTGTGATGGAGCATTGTCCTGCATGAAAATCATGTTTTTCTTGAAGGATGCAGACTTCTTCCTGTACCACTGCTTGAAGAAGGTGTCTTCCAGGAACTGGCAGTAGGACTGGGAGTTGAGCTTGACTCCATCCTCAACCCGAAAAGGCCCCACAAGCTCATCTTTGATGATACCAGCCCAAACCAGTACTCCACCTCCACCTTGCTGGCGTCTGAGTCGGACTGGAGCTCTCTGCCCTTTACCAATCCAGCCACGGGCCCATCCATCTGGCCCATCAAGACTCACTCTCATTTCATCAGTCCATAAAACCTTAGAAAAATCAGTCTTGAGATATTTCTTGGCCCAGTCTTGACGTTTCAGCTTGTGTGTCTTGTTCAGTGGTGGTCGTCTTTCAGCCTTTCTTACCTTGGCCATGTCTCTGAGTATTGCACACCTTGTGCTTTTGGGCACTCCAGTGATGTTGCAGCTCTGAAATATGGCCAAACTGGTGGCAAGTGGCATCGTGGCAGCTGCACGCTTGACTTTTCTCAGTTCATGGGCAGTTATTTTGCGCCTTGGTTTTTCCACACGCTTCTTGCGACCCTGTTGACTATTTTGAATGAAACGCTTGATTGTTCGATGATCACGCTTCAGAAGCTTTGCAATTTTAAGAGTGCTGCATCCCTCTGCAAGATATCTCACTATTTTTGACTTTTCTGAGCCTGTCAAGTCCTTCTTTTGACCCATTTTGCCAAAGGAAAGGAAGTTGCCTAATAATTATGCACACCTGATATAGAGTGTTGATGTCATTAGACCACACCCCTTCTCATTACAGAGATGCACATCACCTAATATGCTTAATTGGTAGTAGGCTTTCGAGCCTATACAGCTTGGAGTAAGACAACATGCATAAAGAGGATGATGTGGTCAAAATACTCATTTGCCTAATAATTCTGCACTCCCTGTATATGTGTGTATGTGTCGGTGTCTATATGAATTTGCGTGTATGTGTCTGTGTATTTATATGCAACTGTGTGTTGATGTGCACGAACATCTGTGTAAGTATGTATGTACATACATCCAAGCAAACACCAGCACAACATACAAGCACACTCCTGCAATCTAACACAAATATTACATACAAACACACCCCTGCATTCAAACAAAAAATATATACAAACACACCCCTTCACTGAAACACAAATACTTGACACAAATGTACATCCACATTTAAAAGTGAACATTACATTCAGACACACCCCTGCAATCAATCGCAAACATTGCATACAAACACACCCCTGTATTAAAACACAATAAATGTAAACAAGCACCCCTTTAAACACCAACACTGTACATTACACTATAGCCCCAGCAGTGGCGTACTAATGGGGCCCGGCCGCCCCGGGTGCCACTGACTAGGGGGCTGCCATGACTTCTAGTGTCATGTGTCATCCCCCCGGCCCCAATCATTAGCGGCAGCACCTTTGCAGAGGCTGAGAAGGGGGAGGAGTCTTGCGGGACATGGAGTGATGACGCGCAGCGCCGCCGCCTTCACGGATCTTCAGCGCAAGGATCCATCCAATATCCGGGCGGTGAGGCACCCAGTGGTCGGTCTCGGAGGGAAGGCATAATCAAAACGTGAGTAGTAATTTATTAAATTAAAGAATTAAAGGGGAGGGAGGTTTATTTAAGGGGGGTGGATTAATTATGGGGGTGGTTAGTATGGAGTTAGATTATTTATGAAGTGGATTAATTATGAGGGTGGATTATTTATGAGGGGTGGATTAATTAGGGGATTAATTAAGGGTGTGATTAAGGACCAATTAAGGGGTGTGGATTAATTAGTGTGGATTAATTAAGGGGGTGTGGATTAATTAAGGAGTGTGGATTAATTAAGGGGGTGTGGATTAAGGGGGTGGATTAATTAAAGGGGGTGTGGATTAATTAAAGGGGGGTGCAGTGCGGGGAGGTTTATTTAAGGGGGTAAGTTTAATTATTGGGGTTGCAGTATTTTATTTATTAAGGGAGGATGCGCACTGCAGATTTTTGTTAAGGAGTGTGCAGGATTTTAAGGGGGGTGTGCAGGTTTTTTGTTATCAAAGGGGGTTGTGCAAGTTTTTTTTATTTTTTATTAAGGGGGTGTGCTGGGTTTTTTATTAAGGGGGTGTGCATGGTTTCTGTTTTTTATTAAGGGGGTGTGCGGTGTTTTTGTTTTTTTAAATTAAGGGGGTGTGCAGGGTTTTTATGTGTAGGGAGTGTATGAAATTTATGTGATCAGTGTGCAGGGTTTTTATATGAAGGGCGAAGGGCAGGGGTTTTCTAGAAGGGGCGAGACAAGGGGCTTTGTAGAAAGGGGCAGAGCAGGAGTTTTCTAGAAGTTTCTCACCTGCCCCTTTCTACAAAAGCACTGGTCTTCCCCCTTCTACAAAACTGGCGCATTTATACAAAACCTCTGCCCTGGCCCCCTTCTACAAAACCTCTGCCCTAGCCGCTACATCTTTTAAACCCAAATCCTTTTCCAATGCTGTTTCTAAGGACCGGCTCGATGAAGTGGTCTGGGTGCCAGGTCCCTCTAGTTTTAACCCTGCAGCTGAAAACATAGCAGTTTCAGAGATGTTTCACTGAGGGTTAATCCAGCCTCTAGTGGCTGTCTCACTGACAGCCGCTAGAGGCGCTTCCGCAATTCTCACTGAAAACTCACTGTGAGAAGACGCTGGACGTCCATAGGAAAGCATTGAGTAATGCTTTCCTAAGGGCAGTTTGAATGTGCACGCGGCTCTTGCTTCGCATGCGCATTCGGATCTGACGTCGGCAGGGGGAGGACAGGTCACCAGCGCCGAGGGAGCCCGACGCTGGAGAAAGGTAAGTGGCTGAATGGGTTTAAAGGGGTTAAAACCCCTTTAGCCATTTATCTTAATCCAGTGCCGGGCTCCCTCGGCGCTGGTGAACTCTCCTCCCCCGCCGACATCAGCTCCCGAGTGGAGCCGAATGCACATGTGTGCAAGAGCCGAGCACGCACGTTCAAACAGTCCATAGGGAAGCATTTCTCAATGCTTTCCTATGGACATTCTTCAAGCTAGATGCGATTTTTGCATCTGGAGGGTTAAAATCTGGGGGAGCTGGCACCCAGACCACTTCATTGAGCTGAAGTGGTCTGGGTGAATATAGTGTCCCTTTAAATACCCTGGGTTGTCTACTTTTACAAATGGTATGCCAAGATGGAAAATATAAGACAGATATCGCACTAGCGAACCATAGAGCCAAAATAAATGTAGTATTTTTCTGCAGAAAACACCAATATGAAGCGAAATCGACCAAGTGGGTCTCAGCAACGAAAAATTAAGAAGGCAAAAGAAAAGTCAGCTGAGGGGATGTCTGGATCAATTTTAAAATATGTTGCACCTTCAACATCTACCGCAGTAGAGAAAGTGCTGAAGACGTTCAGTCTGTTGAATCCAGAGGTGAAATGCCTGAAGTATCTTCTCAAGAAGCTTCATATGTGAAAGCGCAAGAATTGGAGAAGATAATTTTATCTTCAAGCAGTGAAAGTGATGTAGATGAATGCGATGCCAGCAGAAGCCTGCATCAGCAAGACTCTGATGATGATGAAGAAGAGGAGACTGTTCGACTGTCAGTTTATTCTGATGTTGCTGCTTGGCCAGTTCCAGATGTTTTAAGAGTGGACCTTATTAAGAGGGGAAGTGAACCTTTCCAAAATAGAGATGGGCAATTCAGTCCTGTTGAAAGGCAAGGAGAGAAATCGAAATGGAAGAGTCGACAGTTGACCACTGCATGGTTCTATAAGGCTCTGCCTAATGGCGAAAAAATTCTTAGAACGTGTATGGTGTACTCTCCTTTAAAACAAAGTTTGTTTTGTTTTTGCTGCAGACTTTTTGCTGTTGATGACAAAGTAACAGGGGCATCCAGTTTTGTTACTGGGTTTCAATTGTGGTGGAAGCTGAACCCAAAGGTGTCTGATCATGAGGCTCCTGAGCAGCATCTTACATGCTTGGAGAAATGGAAGACCTTGAGAGCAGGATTGAAGCTACAAAAATGCATTGATCATGTCCATCAAACAACAGTGGACAGAGAGAAAAGGAAATGGAGGGATATTTTGCATCGCCTTTTGGATGTAACTTTGTTTCTGGCTCACCAGAATCTTCCTTTTCGTGGTCATAGAGAGACCATGTCATCCGCAAACAAAGGCAACTTCCTCGAATTGGTAGAATTGCTCTCAAACTATGATCCCATTTTAAAGAAACATTTCATGAGGCTGAAACATGCTGTTGCATCTGGAAAGAGAATGACTTCCTATTTCTCTCCAAAAATTCAGAACAAATTAATTTGTCTTTTGGGAAATCATGTGAAGGACAAAATAGTGGCTGATATCAAGAAAGCAAAGTACTTTGGGATTCTTTTTGACAGCACCCCTGATGTGTCCCACACTGATCAGATGTGTTAAGTGATCAGATATGTTCATATTGAAGGGGACCATGTTGAAGTAATGGAATCATTCTTGGGCTTCTTTCCTGTTGCTGAAAAGACTGCTGCTGAGCTCACAGAAAATATCCTGCAACATCTGGAGGAAGATGGACTAGACATAAGCGTTTGCTGTGGTCAAGGATATGATAATGCTGCAACCATGGCAGGGATTCATAGTGGTGTTCAGGCAAAAATAAAAGAGATTAATCCCAAGGCTTTGTTTATGCCATGTGCTAACCATTCCCTGAACCCATGTGGGGTCCACTCATTTGGAAGTGTTGCTTCCTGTGTGACCTTTTTTGGAACATTGGAGAGAGTGTATTCCTTGTTTTCGGTTTCTACACATCGTTGGGAATTGCTGATGGAAAATGTAGGTGTGACAGTGAAAAGACTTTCCCAAACAAGATGGAGTGCTCATTATGATGCTGTGAAGCCAGTGAGGGCAAATTTTGAAAAACTGACTTCAGCCCTTGAAAAATTATGTAATCCCAAAGAAAATGTGGACACAAGAGGATCGGCTCAGATGTTGCTGTCTGCCGTATGTGATTTTTCTTTTTTGTGTTACCTTTCTTTCTGGTGTGAAGTTCTAGAAGAAGTTAATATAACACAGACATATTTGCAAAGTGTGGGACTCACTCTTGAAAAGTTCATTGTGAAACTACAAGGTTTGAAAGCGTTTCTAGCAGATCAGCGCAGTGAAATTGTGGAGAAGGCCATTTGTTATGCAACTACTACGTGTAAAGAAATAGAAATTTCAATGGAAAGAAGAGGGAGAGTAAAGCTCCGTAAAACAATGCCAGGAGAGAAGGCAAAGGACGCTGGTCTCACATTGCCAGAGGAAATGAAAAGGGCTATGTTTGAGTGCCTTGATCATTTTCATCACGAGTTGGAAATTCGTTCCCAGGCAATTGAAAAAATCCTTTCAATGTTTGCTGTTATTCAGCCAAGCTCTCTGGTTGTGGCAACAGAGAAAGATATTCGGAATTATACTCCAAAATTGACTGATATTTTTGACGAATTCTCTAATGAAGACATCTTTAGGGAAATTGAACGTCTTCTGAGGCATTTGGAAGCTGCCAAGATCAGTGTTGAAGAAGCAAAGAAATGGACGGCATTGCAGTTCCTGGAGTTCATTGTTACATGGGATTATTGTGAATCTCTGCCAAATTTGTCACTGTGTTTAAGATTCTTTTTGACTCTCTGTGTGTCTATTGCTTCATGTGAAAGAAGTTTTTCCAAATTAAAATTGATAAAAAATGTATTTCGCTCAACCATGAGTGAGACAAGGTTGACAAATCTGGCTATACTTTCAATTGAGCATGAATATGCAAGGAAGATTGGCTTTGATGAAGTAATCGAAGGCAGCGGATGTGAATCATTGCACATTACCTCTGCCGAATAGACTGAGTGGTCACTTTGGATCTGTGTGTTTTTTTGTTTATAGAAAGTTTACAAATTTGTGAAATAAATATTATTGAAAACATTGAAAAAATTGTGGGTGTTTTCTTACATTTTTACTATGGGGGGGAGGGGTGCCACACTCAGGGTCCGCCCCGGGTGCCAAATGCTCTAGGTACACCCCTGAGCCCCAGTAAATGCGGCAGTGCTGTACAGATATACAAACTAGTAATTTTGACTTGGGGTGCCTTTGAAAAGTACTGAAATATTAAGGGCGCCTTGAACCTAAATAGTTTGGGAACCACTGGTGTATACCGTAAGATGAAGCGGTAGTTCTAACAGAGATGCAAAGAAAACTTGACAAAAGACATGATTAGGTAACTGATAGAGGAAAGTATACGTATACTAAAACTGCACAGTGGTTACAGATGCAAACAAAACTTTTATTTTTTCACAACATGTTTGCCATTCTGAAAACCTTTCTGATAGTTTCCCTGAGTGCTATATCTTCTTTTTTTAACACTGAAGACCTCACAGAACTAAATATGCTTTGTGCAGACTTACGTACATCCAGCCATGCTGTTAATATTCAGTGACATTGATTTATTCTCGCACGTGATTAGTGGGGCTCAGCGTGTGTATTTTTCATGTTCTGGGTCTGCCTGTTGCACATGAGGTTTGAAGAATTCTACACTAAAGCATGACATTCTAATGGAATAAATCTGACTTTCAAAAGATTTTGTTTGAGTCCATCAATCTCTTGGTGTTAAGAATGTGTGAAAATACTTAACTCTGTTTGATATTCCCAATAATAAGCCAACCACGAAAAACTGACCTATATAAAATGTCCTTCTCTTGTAGTGGTGTAGTGATGATGTGGAAGCTTGAAATGTCATGGTCTGGTTGTAAATTACAATCTCCACTCAGACATATTTCATATGTTCGGTTTAGGGAGACTTTG